CTCAATATTCAAGTCGATCTTTATCCCCATACTTACATATGGTCATGAATCGTGGACCATCACTGAAAAAACTTCGAACCCGGGTACAAGCTGCTAAAATGGGCTTTCTTAGACGAGTCTCTCGCCTTACGCGTCTCGACATGGTCCGGAATAATGACATCCGGAAGTGCCTTGGATTACTGCCTTTGCTTCTCCAGATTGAGAAGTCACAGCTGCGATGGCTTGGGCATGTGTTGCGAATGCCTCCAGAAAGGAAGGTAACCAACTGTTCCTTGGAAATCCGACCGGCAAAAGGCCCAGGGGGCGGCCAAGATTAACCTGGTGCAAACATATGGAAGAGTCTGTTCCAGACTGCATTTGTCTTTTGCCGAAGCTCAGACTCTGGCACTGGATCGGGAACGTTGGTAGCACTGTCTGATGCGTCTGCCTACGCGACCCGAAAGGAAAACGGCGTTGGAAGGTGAAGATGAGGACTTCATTTTCATTGGTATCAAAGCTGTATCAGGAATGTAATACTATAAATCATGGTGCTTACATTACAACAGAGTTACAGATGATTCAAATGCATTTATAGTTTAACGTATAAATGTTTTAGAGCAAATGTTCAAAGCTTGTACCGACGTTTGGTTTGGGCTTCAATCAAAATGGCTGACTCCTATAATTCAGGTAAGAGCCATATGTTTATTATAAGAAAAACGTGTTTTATGAAAAGCTGGTATTTTGAAAGCTTATGAAAGGTAGTTGACAGGTCTTTCAGTGACACGCAAGAACAAGTTTCAAAATCAAGACACGGTTAGTATACCAACCTTAGCATTAAGCTTGGTCCACTGTCCTTTCTTTTGGTAAAGCCCGTATATCTCCACATTAAGTCGTATTACTCTTTATATCGTTTATAACTTGTTCTCATTTTTAGTCAATAATCGAATGAATGAACGCCAATTGCAACCGTGAGTTAGCATGTCCCTAGTTCTCCCATGATTTAGCATAAATGGCGGGATTTCTTAAGCAGACCACTGCTTCGCGATATTTTAGCAGTTGCAGTACGTGAATGCAAAGCTGTACCATAAATAACAACAGCAACAACGTGTTTTACACCACGTGTTAATTAAAACACGTAGGGCAGCCAATTGCCATAACGCGTGAGGACGAAATGCAAGCGAAGAGGCGTTCGCATCAGACGGCATGATAGTGCGTCTCTTACATTTTCGCATAATCATCATGGCTCCCATCAGTCGTCATGTTGCTATAGTGGATGAATCCCTTTCTCAAGAAAGTTCACAACTGGTCAGAGAGGTTTTATGCCGCGCTTAGAGCTTTAATCCGGCACCTGTAAAGTTCAAAGTAAACTTGAGACCGGTCGTACCAGTACACCCATTTCTCTACTTAATGTTTCGAACCCGTTCTATAAGAAAGCATTTGCTTAGTATAGAAAAAATTTCAAAGCATCAATGGAAATCTGTCCATCGACGCTGAAGAGTACTATTGATTAGCACCATGAAAAGTATTTGAATTTCAGATCCTCCTAACGAGTTGAAGAATAATGAAGGCTATGTCGAACAGAGAGCGAAGGTCGCCTTCGAAAGACTGAGGCAAATGAGGGACAACGGGGAGTCAACGGATGTTCGTCTTGTCGTAAAACATGAAAAATGCTATTGTTCACACCGAATCGTGCTGTCAGCCGTTAGCAATTATTTCCGCCACTGCTTCACATCAGATTTTGTTGAAAAAAATCAAGAGCTGTTCGCGTTTCCTGAGGTCGATCCAGAAACAATTCAACTGATTCTAGATTTCTCATACGGACACTCAATATCTCTAGACGGCTGCGACGCCATTGAAGTGTTAAAATGGGCTGACTACTTTCAAATGTCAGAACTGACGAGTTTCTGTACTCAGCGCATACTTGAACAAGTCACTCTTGAAAACTGCGTCTATTTTGCTCGATTGGCTATGGATTATAACTTTACGGATCTGAAGGTCAAGACGCGTCAGTACGTTTGTGAAAACTTCAGTCATATACGTTCTGACAATCAAGATCTGATGGCATTGTCATTCGAACAATTGTCCTCTTTCCTCAGCGACGATCACCTGAACGCCCGAAAGGAGAAAGTTGTTTGGTCTGTGATTAAGCGCTGGATTTATTGGGATCGGCCGGCCAGGAAAGTACATCTTAAACAGCTGTTAACAACAGTACGACTTGGTGTTATCGACGAAACTACGTTCAAAGAAATACGAAACAATGAGCTGGTTCAAGAGGACGAAGAGAGTCGAACTCTTATTTGTTCTGCTTATGCAATGAGGCAAGGAATTCCGATGAACTCGAAACAACTGGCTTCCCTTATGGACTACAAAGCATGCTATTTTCGTCTACCGTATGAAGTCATTGTGGCGACGGGAGGCTGGAGTGGCGACTCTCCATCAGACGTCATCGAAGCTTATGATCCGACAGTGCGCAAATGGTATGAGGTCAACTTCAAGGACGTTGTAGGGCCCAGCGCGTACCACGGTACTATTGTGATTGGACATCATCTGTACAACGTCGGCGGCTTCAACGGTAACGCCTATTACAACATGGTGAGGCGTTTTGACATTTTAAGTAAAGTGTGGTCAGTACGAGCCCCAATGGCCGAGAAACGCTGTTACGTGAATGTTGCCGAATATAATGGAAGCATCTACGCTTTCGGTGGCGTGAATGGCTTCCGACGACTGAACAGCGCAGAGTGCTACCGCATAGAGAAGAACCAGTGGTTAAACATTCACCCAATGGAGGCGCGTCGCAGTGACGCCCATGCGGTTACGATTAGGGACAAGATAGTTTTGATCGGCGGCTTCAACGGCAACGAAT